CAAGTTTGAGTTCTTCCTGTTGCAGAAGCAAATGACTTGCCACTTAAGGGAACTATCTTTCCGTCACCCATCGAATCATGTAGGAGAATGTTGCACCCTTTTCCAGACCAATTATTGAGACCATCCTCAAAGTTAGGGTTCAGTATGATGTTATCATCACCATCAGTATCAATAATGGAAGCTATTTTCATTTCCTTTTGAGCAGGGGGGAAAGCAGGATTTTCCTGTTCTGGCAACTGAAATTGCAAAGATGATGAAACAGAAAATGGTCAACAATATCGTGAATAACTATTTTAGCTGCAACTTTTATTCACTCGTTCTACAAAACTAAAAGGATGTTCATGCATAACAAGTTTCAACCCTTTGTTTTCATCTCCACTGAAAGCTCACCTATACCAGAACTATCTACTTTGTATAATTAATGATATTTTAGGTGTAGTTGGACATCCTTACAGTTCTAGCCACTGCTGTAAAGGATCTCCCTTGAAGTGGTGGATGCAGTCGAATACATTTTTACTGACTGAGATGATGTAGACCCTAAATCCTAGGAGAGTAAATCTTTTTAAAAAAAATGCACTCTCTGTTCTACAACCAAGAAAACACAATATTTAGTCAAAAGGATGATATCTACTCTAGGGATACTAGTGTTAACTATTTTGTTTACATGATAAGAACATCGTCATTCAATATATTAGGCATGATGAGAGGCACTAAGGCTTTCTTCAGTTTGTCACAACACAAAACAACGACATACAAATCGACTACAGTACTGAAGTTCGTCCTTGACTCTATGAATTGTAGCAAGAATTTACAATGGTTTTCTAGATGAAACAAAACATGTCTCATTCAGCAAACTGACTTTTTCCCATTTTCATGTAAATGAAATTCAGTCTTACAAGAAACAAGCAAGAAAAGAAAAAACGCGGAGTGTCATACCAGGGAGACTACCCTGCTGCAGCTGCTTCTTTGTGGCTCAGCCATGGAATCTAGTTTTTTTTTTTTTTGGAGGGAAAGATTGCTACAAGAAAATAAGTGGTATGGAAATGACAGAAAAACTCAAATGGTAATTAAAAAAAAAAAAAGGCTTCTTCACCTTTGTAACTGCGAGGAAGTGTTGTATCAGAAGTTTCTTAGGCCTTGAGAAGAAAATTAGAATCTGCAATCTTATATAGAACTCAGAGACTTCCAGTCCTGTCTTGTTTTCAAGTATACTCTAAGGAAAAATAAATTTGGGACTAACCAACCAACCAAAAGCTAACTGGGAATTTAAGTGAGGAAAAAGTGCAGTTTCTTGCTTTATCTTTATTTAAAGTACATTTAACATAAAAGGCATTTGTTGTACTTTGCGAATAGAATGGTTAGTACCGTTTTCTTGAGGAGGTGGGTTACTTCAAATTTCCTCTAGGATTTTGTAGATACCCTTTCACTTGTATGATTCTAGCCTTGCATTGCAATAGAAGGTTTTGTAGGTTTTAAATTACTCTTTCGCTCTTTCTTCGCCTTGGGAGTTCTATGCTATTAGAGAAATTGGGGAAATTGTATCCTTTGAAGTCAAGGGAAAGGAGTTGGGAACTAAGCTCAGCTTCTAGCAGTTGATTGATCTCTTAGCCTTTAAAAAAAAAAGCTAATTCCTTTCATGTGTCTAACTTCTAAGGAACTCCACTTTTGTTCTCTTTTTTCATTTTTTTTTAGTAATTCTATTGTAGACACTACCTCTCCACACTTGACAAGTAATTAAAAAGAATACCCAAATAATACTGATCAAAGATATAAGTTAGAATATAATTTAACAGTAACCTCATTATTCTCCAGATTCATGCCTCCACCATTAAACTCCCCCATAAAAGGCTAGGAAAACTTTTCCAATACCATAATTTGTCCTTGTCCAGACCATTTTTAAACAGTGGTATCAAGCCAACGACTTTGTTGATTGATAAAAGGATTCATTAAATATTGAAGCTGGGCAACTGAGTTATACAGCTTTCCACAAATGTACCTTGCTACCTTTTCATCTATAATCAGGAAAATGCCATATATTCTTGCTAGTAACTTATATCAATTTCCAAATATACAATTTGTGAATGAAAAAGTAAATTCAACTCTTCCTATATATGCAGCAATAGAATATTAACAGACTTTTGTTACATGAGTTTCATTTCTTATAATTAGGTCTTTCTCCAAGGAAACAGTATCTGCAATCAGTAAATCAGACCTAAATCACTTCCTTGGTTGCTGCACATAAAAATCTAGTGAAGAAAGCGGGATCAAAGGAAAAATTCATACGCTCTTTGGTTTGCAAATAACATATGAACAGCATCAGGTTTTATTCATGAGAATAACAACCAGGTAACATAACAAGCAGCTGAGACGACATATGCCAATACTCATAGTAGCAAAATAAGAAATAGGGTAAATTACAAACCCCCTATGAACTTTCAGCGTTTTGCACTAAACCCCGTTGTACTTTCAAAATCACACTAAACCCCATTAACTTTTCTGTTTTGTAGAAAACCCCCAATAAGTTTCTGAGTTTTGCAGATAACCCCCAAAAATTAGAATCAGAAAACATAAAAAGGTATTTTTGAAACTTAACGATGGTTTAGTCTAATGTACCCACAAGATATTGGCGTTTCTGGAAGTTATTTGGAGGTTTAGTGCGATTTTGGAAGTTCATTAGGGGTTTACTGAAAAACGTTGAAAGTTCTATTTTTATTTTTTTGGGGGGTGGGGGTTGGGTGGGGGTAGGGGTGGGGTGTGGGGGTGGATTGAATCTAAGAAATAGTTAGATAATTGAGATCCAACAGATAAATGTTGATTAAATGGCCTCTCAAAGCTGGCGACTTGAACAGATGTAATAACCGGCAGTTATCCATATGTGCTCATCTCAGTTTGTCTATTGGAAATCTCAGATGACGCTGTAAAAAGCCAGAGGACTGTTAACACGTCGCTGCAATCTCCTACAAGATATAAGTGGCTAAGCACTTTGTTATCCTGCTGGAATAAGAATTCAGTGGGCATCATTTACATACACGAGTGACTTAAGGAAATAAGATGTTCAAATTCTAGACCTGTTAAAGGAGTAGACATCATGCTGAAGCATGTCAACAAACTCATGATTGGCATGATTGAATGATTTAAGGATAACTGTAATAAGATGTTCAATTTTTGGAAGGCCTTCTCAATTAAGAGTAGTCCTCCTCTCCAAAAGGAGTTTACAAAATTTTCACACTCCTAACCCCTCACTCTCTACCCCTATTTATAGTAATCTTCAATGAATATGAGCCATTGGATTTGTCTTGAGCCACAAGCAACAATCTCCACCTTTGAATTTGCTTTTTAGTTCTTCTTTAGCCCATATGATTTATTTGATTTTCAAAAGAAAATCAACAATCAATTTTCGGCCCAATGAGCTTAACTTGAAAATTTTCCCAAAATGCAAATGAAAAACAAGCAAGTCCGGCCCACAATGAAGTTAATTCTTCCAACCTCTGCTGCCACTTGTCCAAGTCCGGTTGCATTTGATTTTGAAAATCAAACTTGATGAGCTGCAAATCCACATCTCCAGCAGTTTGAGTCAAAATGAACAATGCGGCACTCCATGGTCCAAGGAATATAATTTTCGGCTCAAAAATGAACACATGCAGCAGTCCGGCCCACTTCACATGATTAATCCATTTCTTTGGCCCATTTGATTTTGAAAATCA